GTGGAAGGAGAGGCCCCGTGTACCTTCTTAACGGGGACCATCTCTACCCCCCCTCTCCTCATCTCCTCCGCCTGGATTTGGGGGGACTTCGAGCTCCCTCCTTCAGGCAGTTTGAGGGAAGGTGATGTTGAGAGAGGATCCTTCGATTCCCCCCTCACCTCCCTCCTCCCCTTCTCTGGGACGTGGGCCTTAAGTGGACCACCCCCTCCCTTCCTCATTTCTTCCTCTTTTCTCATGGGTGAGGATGGGAATTGGGCCCTGTGTGGCCCTCCCACCCTCGACCCCGGTTTTCACCTTTCTCTTTGGGGTGGGGCAGAGTGGAGGGCCTTTACTGGCCCCCTTCTCCCCATCCCTTACCTTCCCTCCAGAGGGTAGGGGTTGGATTTCCCCCGTACCTCCCCATTTGGGAGGATCCAAGGAGGCACCCCCCTCTCCTCCATGGGGGCAGTGCACTTGGACACGGTTCATTTGGACACAGAAAGTTGCGCACGGTTCAATTGGAGACAGTACAATTGCGCACCGTTTACTTGCGCACTGTTCATTTGGACACAGAAAGTTGCGCACCGTTCATTTGGACACCGTTCGTTTGGACACCGTTCGTTTGCGCACTGTTCGTTTGGACACAGAAAGTTGCGCACCGTTCGTTTGGACACAGTTCGTTTGGACACCGTTCGTTTGGACACCGTTCGTTTGGACACCGTTCGTTTGGACACCGTTTATTTGCGCACTGTTCAGTTGTGCATCGCTCAATTGTGCGTTTCGTTTGGACTACGAAAAGATACATATACCATTCGTTTGATATGTAATATATGGAAATAAATTAAGAATAATTTGTGAAAAATATAATTATACAATGTTTTTATTGAATTTTATACCGGTAAATAAACGTGAAGTGTGAAATTGTAAATATACATGTGACATTAAAGATTATTAAAGGTTACTTCCCAGAAAGTGAAATAAGACGCATGCGATATATGTACCATTCGTTTTGATATGTAATATATGGTGAGAAATAAAGAACAATTTGTAAAAAATATAACTAAGTGTGTTCATTTAGTGTTATACCGGTTAATAAACGTAAAAATAAACGTAAAGTGCGTGAAATCAAAGAAAAATGACATTGAAAGGTTAGGTTAGGTTAGGTTAGGTTAGATCTGTCAATGTCGGAAGGTACTGGAGGATAGGCCAAAATCCCAGGAACCAAGCACCCAGGACACTATCCTTCACGTGGTGGAGACAGCTCTCCGCACTCTTCTTCCAGAGGTGCTAAGGGGAATGGGCCAGGTTCAACAGGCCCATTCGACAACAGGTACAATGGCACCACCGCCACTGCCATCAACCTCTGGGAAGAAGAAAAAGGAGAAGGGAGGACAAAAACCAGGAGGAGGAAAGAGGGGGGAGGAGCCAAGACTCCTCAACCCCCCCCACACCCCCCCAGGGGAAAAGGCCCAACTAACGAGAGCTCAACCTAGCAGGGCCGCCAAATTGGCACCCCCTCCCACTGTTGCCCCCGGGGCCACTGCTGAGCAGGAGCCCTGGGCGGTCGTGGTGAGCAGGGGGGCCAAAAAGAAGGTCCAAGCCAAGGGAGCACCATCGGAATCGACCAAATTGGCTGGCCAGTCTGCCAAGACAAAGCCAACCAATGATAAGGAAAAGGGGAAAGAGGGGGAAACCCCCCCCCCACCC